ATGCATCTATATCCTCACCGTAGTGAATAAGAGTTACTAATTACATTCCTTACAATTCTAAATAGTATCAGGATAGATCCCTTCAGTCTATATCCAGACTGAAAACTCAAAGCAAAACCAATCTCTACAGATGAGGCACGTGACTGAGGAAACAGTCCGGTCTACTCTCTGATGTGGACAAAGAACCGTGGGTTTTGTCGCCCTGATGGCGTTATTTGTGTAAATCCTAATCCCTCCAAATGAGACCCAGACCCTGCAAGACTGAAAAGAAAGGCAGGGTTTGTGTGCAGAGTCAGCTCTTTTCTGTATTTCCAGCACAGAGGTGAGACACGCTTTTCTTTAATCAAATGGTCCACAGGCCACAACAAAGAAAAGATAATGCCAGCCTGAGATGACTGTTTTGTGCTGCAGAAGCCAGCAGTGGAACAAGTATCAACTCAATCAAGGCACGGGCATGCGCTAGCCTTTCCTTCCCACAGAGTTTATTCCAGTGAACTGCAGCTGGGGGATCAGGCCCAACAAGCAGATTTGTTCTGTAGTCATCCACCCTCTCAAAGCATGATGGTGCTTTGTGTAGCCTGGTGCAGAGTGTCTTCCTGATATAAAACTCCAGACCCTTTTCTTGATGATTCACTGAGAACCTCAGAGAAACTCTTGGATTTTATCCTTAATATTTCTTTCATTGCTTCTTGATATAACGTATGCTGCCAGGAAGTTAATTATGTTTAAGGTGTTTTAACTATCCACTCTAAATTTGTAGCCAAATAGATCTCGAACCCTTATTGTGATGTTCAATATACAACCCAATTGAAAACCATCATATATATTTTAATGAAATCTCCACATTAAAACATCTATGCATATTTACCAATAATGCAGGAAAGAAAAATAATAGTCCTTGATTTGACTTACAAGACTTTTCTTTAAAAATCTTAAATGAGAATTTATAAATATTTCAAGAGTCTTATTTTCATATCTAAAATGGAAATGATCTGTGACCTTTTCTAGGGGTAGATATAATATATACTTGAGTTGTTCATGATATAAGTGCTGGAGCACAAGGTCACTCTTGTTTTACACAGCTAATGCCTCTTCCCCTCTGCTGCAGCCTTGCACCTAATACACTTCTGCTTGACCTGACTGTAAGGCATGCCCTGATGTCATTCTGCACTCTTCTGGTTTTCTATACTCTTCTTTGCCTGTTATACATCTTTCTTCCTTTTTTATGTTTGTCTTGGCATATCCTTGTTCTTTCCATTAAAAAATATTTAATCCACTACAGTGCTTTAGTAAGACAGTTTCTTTGGTTAACTCTGATTAGAATCTTGATGTCTGCTCAGTGGAATCACTGGGAAGAAATAGAAGCATTCAAACCATGTGAAAGAAATGAGGAAATAGAAGCGTGGTAAACATGTGAAAGATGTTCGAAATGACCCTTATTTCATTGGAAGCTAACTGCGTATAATAAAAATCTGACTTAATTAGAGTCATCTAATTTGAATTCCTATAATTTTTATTGTTTTCAGGAGAAACGTGGTAATTGCTATATCCACTGTGTAATGCTCTGCCCTGAGATACATTGTCCTGATGAATTCTAAATATTATGCTTTTGGGTAATTAGAGTACCTCTGTGTCACTTTTGTCTTTTATTTCCATTATTTTGCTTTCAAGAAAAGTAAGACATAAGTAAGACTGATATTCCAGCTGAGTAAGCTCTCACTGGGATTTAGATTGACTCGATATAACTTGTCACCTCTGAAAGACACATATTGATCTTTAAAACACAAATGATAAGTTTATTTCCTCACAAACACATGTGCACTCATTTTTCTTTCTTTTACTAATCTCTCTTAAAAGTCATTTTAAATTATGTGTATGCATGTGTGTGTGTGTGTGTGATTTCATGCATATGTGTGTATAAATATTCCTAAATATATAATCATAACCTCTCCGTCTCCATAATTTTAACTTCTATGTATGTTCTCAAGGCTGACCATTTGGTGTTGGTAACCAGTTGGAAGCTCTTCTCTGAGGAAGACTCTCCATCTCTCAGCATTGCTTAGTTGCCTGTAGTTCTTTGTCTAGGGTTGAAGCCTCACGAGCTTCGCCTGTCCATTTTGGTTGTCTATTGGTTCCATTCTTGTTCAGGTCCTGTTTAGGCAGCTATACTGGTGAGACTTCATGGGTGTAGCTTCTGACATTTCTAGGACACAACCTCACAGAAAACTCCCCAACCATCTGGTCCTTACAATCTTCCCACCCCTTTTTCTGCACCGATCCCTGAGCCTTAGGTGTTGGAGTTGTGTGTGATAGGTACCGTTTTGAACAAGGCTCCACAACTCTGCGTTCCGATTGGTTGTGGTTTTCGTTGATGGGCTCCATCTGTTACAAAGAGTTTTCCTTCTAAGGGAGGACTATGCTTATCTGGCTATGCCCTGGAGAACATGTCTTTTATTAACTTTAATAGTTACCTTGCAGAAGAATAAGTTTTATTATAGCATTTTTCATACTGTACACTCCATGTTAAGATTTTAGATAAGCTGTTTAGAGTCTTCTTGCATATTTGAACATGTCCAGGGAAAACGTCTTTGCAAATGTATCTCTAAAATGTTCATGAAAATACCGATATTTCATGGGCAGAGAGCTATGGGGCCAGTTATCAGGATGACTTTTGATGTGAATATGTGAGATATTTCTCATCCTAACTAGACTTGATTATTGACTATTGGGTCTGTGAATGGTTGTCAAGCAAGCACCTCTTCAACGAAGGAGAGACTGTTTACGCAGGGCATTTTCTCGGTCAGCAACCCAAACGGAAGCCCTGCTGCTACTTATTCTTCCAAGTATTTATTTCTATGCATTCAGAGATCGAAGAATGTTACTCCAGGTCACATCCTCAGGGTTCTTCAGAGAGATGACATCACTGCTCTGGGCCTAGGTGTCCTCATTGGTGGAATACACGTCCCTTAAAGAGTTTGCCTTTTGTTCAAGTAATCTGTCATCATTTAGTGTTGTGTACTCAGAAGAGATCTCGCCACTGTATCTTGGGCACCGAAAGCTATTATTTAAACCTACACATTTGTTCTAAAATCAGAAGCTTCAAGAAATGGAGAAAGGTTATTGAGGAATATTGAGAGAAGGAGGAAATAGAACCAAGTAGGAAGCACTGCTAAGTGGAAGACTAATTTGAGAACAAAGCAGAAGGAAGCTGAAGGAGCCCTGAGAAGGGGGCGTGGAAAAGGAAGCAGTAATTACAGAGTTGGTCCTAGCAGTAACTCTTGACTTAAAACTTTTAAATGTTTGCAGCACAGAGAACAAATTCAACACAGAGTGAGCGTCCCAAATTCTGCTCTCAAATAAGCAAAACGTCCTCTTCTGTTTATGGATTCAGAAGAGGCCAGCCTCTACATTCATGGACAACACACATAAGAAGAACAATGATTATTTCGGCAGATGTGCGGAGTAACTTTAGTGAAGGCAGCTTCTGTAAAGACGGTAGAAATGAAACAGCACACTGTAACCATTCAACAGGCTCAAGACAATAAAAGGCTACAAAAAAGATGTGTGTGTTGAAGCAGGCAGGCTAAGCAGCTGTGGCTTATACTGGCTCACTGGCCAGCGCCTGACTTCAACATGGAACCCGGCAATGTGCTGAAGAGATGCTGCAACAGATCTCAAACTCTAAAGGGAAAACGTACTTTTAAAATATAAGTGCTTTGAAAGCAAGAAAGGAAAATAGCAAAGACTTAAAAATATAACAATTTCCCCACAGTGTCTGCTGCTACAAAATCATGGCCTGAATGTTTTTTTTTCTTTTTCTTTTTCCTTTTGTTTTGATGAATGAGAAATTTAGACACAGAGCCACACACACAGAGAGAACGTCATGTGGCCCCTGTTAACGTACCGTAGTGAGAAACTAGGGAGAGCTGGGGAAAACAGTCCCCCAAAGAAGGCTGGCCCTTCTCAAACACTGATTTGGATCTTTGCCTCCAGAACAGTGAGACCATACATTCTGCTTATAAGGTACAGTTTCCTGTCTCAGTTACAAGAATCTTGGAGAGTTAATAAAAAGAGTGAGAACGGAATTTGTTTTGTGGTTTTTTAATGGCCCACATAAATAAATGGAAGTGGGAAAGGCATAACTAATGAAAGCGGAATTGAGTATGAGTAAAAGACGACACAATGGATGGCGGCTGTTTCAGAAGAAGGAGAAAATGCAACCCAGAGATTTGGGGAATGACCGGAGAGGGAGACCAAGCATCTCCCTGAGATTAGACATGGACCTCAGTGAGGGCTCAAAGACGTTCTTAGGCAAGGGAGAAGAACCTCTGGAAGTTTATGTTGATGCTTCAGGGACAGTCTTAACGCATCAGAGGGTACTAGTAATAAATTAGTAAATAAGTGCTGTGCATAATGCAGTTACCTAAGAGGAAAAAAAAAAAGATGACAGATCTCATGATGAAGTTAGTAATGATTAAATTAAATTCTAATGACATTTAAAACAAATTCTGTGGGTATTACATATTATTTTCATTTAAATCAAAAACAGATAGTGTTTATTAACCCATGTTTTTCGAAGAATAGCAATGCCTATTTCCTGTATATCTCCTAGTTGTATTGCTTATGATCACTTTGATATGAGTAAACATTTCATGAACAGAAATGGAGCACTAACAAGCCCATCTTCCAGAGTGAGACACTTCCAATAGAGAACCACCTTCCCCCTGAATGGTCTCTGGAACTGTAGTGCTTAAAACTTGAATAAACTTGTTCCTGCAAAGAATAGCTTCAAAGACATGCTTTCAAAAGTATAAAATTCTGAGTATTTTTTAAGTGAAGACACAAAAGATTTGTTGGTATGGCTTAGAATTAAGTCGATGAAGAAGGAAAAGGAATATACCTATCTGTGAGCCTGGTTCTTAAGCCAAACTTCTTAATTCACAATAACTATCCAGAGACAGAAACTCAAGAATATTAATATTAAAGTATTTCAACATTACCCTCCAAAAGAAAGACTGCACAGAGAAGTGAGATCCAAACACTTCATTTTCTGAGAGTTCCTATAAACAAACAAATATTTAGCTAAATTTTGAAATGTTTTTGAGAGTACTTAATTACTATCAAAATCAAAACAAAATCAAAGCAAATTGAAAGTCAAAAATTATACATCCCATCCAGACCCTTTGGATATAGAGAAAGTACAGTTTCTTCTCTTGAGTAGATGATTGTCTTTGTCGTCTTCATCCCTTACATCCCTGAGGACAAAGAGTGAGGGTGTTTTCTGTATTTTTAAGAGTTCACTTACCTTTGTGTTCTTAACTGCTCATTAATGTATCTCTGAGTCTGATGTTTCATGACAGAACATATAAGTACTAAAGCACATCACACAATTTTAAAATAAAGTAGACAACATTGTTTCTTTTAGTAAAACAGTTGTGCTAATCATAGACTATGAGATTGTTTAAAAATACAGAAGCATAAATCTTATTAATAAAACATATACCTAGTTAAATTCTTTACAAGATTTCTCTAATTTGATGGTATGATACAATATGTACAATAAATACAAAGCAAATGGTTTCACTAACTTGAGCTCTAAACTACATCCTCAGCCCTAATTAATTACATTTTAATAAGTTTAAATTACTTTTTTTGGACTGTACAGTGTTCTAGTCTGTCCTTGAGTATCAGTTATAATGAAGTTATGGGATGCTGATAAGTTTGGGGACAGTTCAGTTTTGACACTATCATTAAGAGGACGAAATTTTACTATGCCATTTTTTCTATTATTTTATGATAACAACTAGGGTTATAGTGGTCCAGCATCTTACATCATGTCCAAGGCATAGTAAGTACTCAATAAATTTTGTTAACCGACCAAGTAGTATTTGATTAAAATCTTATGTTTTTACCAAACATGAAAGAATAAAGTAGAAAATAGTATTTAATGTTCTGGAGTATTTTTCAATTTGCATAATTTAAAATTAGACAGAAATGCTTCACAGATTATGATGTAATTTAACCAAATATATTTCTTAATGCAACAAATTATGATTTCCCAAGTTGCTTGCTTAGAGTTTGGTCAGGTAGCAATCCTTATGGCAGAAATCATCAGGAAAAGGTTTTTCCTCTAAAATATCATTTGATCAGTAATAAAGGGTTATGATTTGTTTATTTTACATTTTATAGTTTTCAAGTGACACACTATCAGAGTAGAATCTAAGCAGTAAAAAAATCCTTTTAAAATTACACTTACATTTCAACTGCTGTCTTTCTTGATACCATATTTTTAAAAGATTATTCTATATCTTAAATTACAAATCAATTTCAATTTATTCATGTTTTTATTAATGGTGTGTGTGTGTGTATGTGTGTGTGTGTGTGTGTGTGTGTGTGTGTGTGTGTGTGTGTGCGTACTCAGTACTTTCCCATTATCTTGTGGGATCTGGGGATCGATTTCAGGTCATAAGACCTATGGGACTGTACCTTTACACATTGAGGCATCTGTCTGGTTCATTATTGTATTATTTAAATTAAAGAATCTTCTGGATTTTAGAGAAGTTTCATGCTTTCTTTTAATTATCATTTCTCTTCACTTTGATTTATAAATATTTAAGTAACTGATCCACATGTTTAGTAGCACATGAGACAAAATTATAAACATCGTGTTCCAATATCATATTTGAACAATTAAGTATGAGATCCTAGCTGTATAAGAGGTTTCACTCTATGAGTTGAGGCAGTATCAAAAACCATACATCCAAGTGAGTTTAAATCGTAAGGCATAATGTGTTAATTAAATGGAGATGAGAGTTTTACCTCTAAATCCAGCATAAAGCAAATATTTAAAAGTAATATTAGCTCATTTAAAGCTTTAGGTAATCTTATGTGACTGACTCTGAAGCTGTACTAATATTACTTTCTAGTCTTACTCAGGTAAAAGCAGAAGGTATTTACCCTATTGTTGGCTTAGTATACAAAGAAAAAAGCTATTCATGAATTTGGGGGTTGGGAGTTTTTAATTATAAAGATTTAAGATTGAAAAACAAAACTATTAGATACATTTAGATCTACCCTAGTCCCTAGGTTGTACTTTTTAGACCCAACCTAGTCCCTAGGTTGTACTTTTTATGCCATGTTTAATTATTTTTATCACTTATCAGCTACAATTTTTAGTTCATTTTACAACTCACATTGTTATGTAAATTAAGGCCTCTATTTCAAGTGAAACAGTTTAATTTTCATGTGGCTTCTACTGCCATTTATTGCTCTGAATTAATATGAAATTTGCAATAGAACAAGCCAGGAGTAGTTATTATTGGTAACAACAAAAACAGTAAGAAAAAATAATAACAATAGCAACATTAATAGCAAAGAAAATAATCATCACAACACCAATAACAACAAAAGTAACACCAATAACAACAACAATTAAGGCAATAAATGCAACAATAAACAATAACTACAGTGATAAGTATAGTAACCACCACAATAACAATAGCACCAGCAACAACAACACAGTGCTGGCATTATGATGAGTCCTGAACAATAGTACTGATGTTAATCTGGAAAACACAAACCAATTGTGATTCGGGAGAAGCCTTGAGTCAAAACATCATGTACATATTAAGTAACACTTCCATGTGCAACAAGAGAAGAGACTTCATAGTGAGGAAAAGCAGCAGTATGAGGGTGCTTAAATTATAAATCAACTGTTAAAGAAAATTGAACACAAACACAGACATCAGCTTGATAAAAGACAATCGGCAAAATTACCCTAAATAATGAAAGGCTGAACTGATTCTTTTGCATTTTCTAAATATCACACTACCAAGATCCATTGTTTTTGTACTATTTAGGACTAGTTTTCCTTCAAAGTATTTTTGCACTATAAATACATTTCTTCTCAAAGATGAAAAATCAAACTGTAAATCTAAAATATTTTTAAAAGCAAAAATCTAAAAGATAATTTTTTTCTTCAGAAAAATAAAAGTGCAGTTTTACCTAAAAATTGAATATGATAATAATTTTTAAATTGTACATAAAATAAATCAAAAAAATCTTTTAAGATTTTGTTGTCAGTTGGAATGAGGATTAACTATCAATCTTTAAAGTGATATTTTACAACTAGATCAGTATATAGATCCTGAAACATAATTCACGTTATTATAATATTGGAATTCTTCCAGAATAAAAATAGTCACAAGATAAAAGATGAACCTGTGACCCTAAAATTCATGTGTCAGAATCAAGTCAGCATTCTAGATTATATAAACCTGTTTTATATGTACATGACAAATTTCTTTTCATTGGCGCTATTTTGGACATTTAAGAGATTGGAAATATTTGTAAGCTCTTATGCAAAACAGTTACATAAAATTTCCTGGTCAGATAATTATTGTTCATGAAGGTCAAGGTCACATAAAATTTCCTGGTCAGATAATTATTGTTCATGAAGGTCAAGGTCACGGGATGCCTCCATCCTGTCAAAAAACAATGACTAAGAATATTGACTAAGCTTTTGAATAATCATGTCAACTAGGATTTTGGTAGTAAAGTCTTTGCAAAATTATGCATTATTTTCATTTGAGTATTTAAAGTAATTCAAATGAATAAATTATCTATCATCTATTTATCTATCATCTATCTGTCTGTCTATCTATTCATCCGTCCACCATCTACCTATCTACCATCATGATGCCGTACACACCTCTGTGTCTGCCTTCTGCTCTATTAAACCGGAGTCTGATACATTAGTTCCCCCTTCTAATCAGCTCAAGAAGGATCATGGGGAAATTGGTTGGTATTTGTTAACACGTCCAAGAAGCAAAGGTCAATTGGCAATAAATATCTTAGATGTGAGGTACAAGCTTGGTGGGTTCCATCTTGTGCTTAGGGGTCCATTTTATCCCTTGCATTTAAACCAGATCATCTATATTTACTCTAGAAAGAGCAACAACATTTACAAGTTCATCAAAAGCAGTCAAATAAATGTAATGTCACGGTTATTGCAAATCTCTGTCATTATGAATTAAAGTATATAAAATCTAATTTTATGTCTACAGGGAAATATTGTCAAAACATCTAGGAAAAATCATTTCAATGTAAGATCTAGCTATGTCTTCGTGTACTTTGTGGGATAATCAAGTATCATACTAATATATAATATTTATAAAATAAATAAACTTATTACAAATGTAATAACTGAGGTCCAAATACCTGCTGTATTTGGACACCTCATTGCTGTTCACCATTGTTTACTGTTGGCATTTTAGAATCCCAGAACAATTAATTCTGATATAATATATTATTTTATAGTATTTTTTTAAAGGATTGGTAACAAAAATACAGCCAAAGTAAGGAATTATAAATAAATGTTTGTTTCCTTAAAAACATGTAAACATTTTCCATGTTCAAAGACATGTGCATATAATTATAAATGTTATACTAAAGTAAAAGCACTGTGATCACTCACAGCTGAGAAAGTCTCCTACCAAAAGCTTTCATTTTTTACAACCTTTTTCTTTTCTTTATAGTCACCTGTTCATCAGCAAGTGACATCTTAGTAGAAAGACCCCGTAACTGTGAACTAATATATTTTTCATCATGCCTGACTATGTGTGATGTTTAAAAATGTGTTCATCTGTTTCTGCCCCTTACTTAAAGCATTTACAAGTCGTTGATGCATTTTTAATGTTTCCTTCAAGGTGCCAGTTTAACTATGCCCTGCAGTGTACAGAGCTCAGTGTCCCCAGTTTAAATTAATGATATTTTTGCCAGAAGTCTTATTAAAATTGCTTCATTCAATCAATGGGTAAAGTGTTTCATATTTCATTAAAATCATGCTAAGTGATTATTATAAAAATCTTTATAAGAAGATCTATTGCTAAAAGTGATGCAGGCTGTCAAGTAGCAGAAGATCTAGTAATGAGACACCACTACAATAATCTACATTGTACTATTCGAAGGACAAATTTTAAAGAAAACAATTAAAAATTGTTACAGTTAGGATTTTGGCAAGTGTATCTCTATATGATTACAACAGCATTTTCTTTTTCAAAATATTTTGATTTGTTCTTTTTAAATTTTACACATATGTATAACATATTTTAATCCTCATCATCCCTTCACTATCTACCTACCTCCAGCTGCCCCCAGCACCTCCCCCAACACATCTCACTCCCAACTTAGTGTCCTCTTTTTTTTTAAATTACTATCTCACGGACTCCAATTAATATTGGCCTATATGCATGGGCGTGGCCATCTGCTCAAGTATGGGCAACCTATCAGAAGCCACACCTACAAAGAAAATTGGCTATCACTCATCAACTGCCAGTAGTACTTCAGCTAAAAGTAAGGCCCCCTAAAACAGTATTTTTAAGAAACTGAAGTAATTTATTGAAAACATACATTTATTATGTTTTATTTAAAGTAAGCTCTCACTATGTACTACAGGTTGATTTGAAATCATGATTCTGCCTCATCCACCAACATGCTTAACAGTAACTTGTTAATTATTACTCATCATAACCAGAGATAAACTCTCCTCTGGATTAAGCACAGGCATATGCAGCACTGAACAAACTCCTAGCCAGCCAACAGAGACAATTATTTCATTATTTCATTTCCATTTTTGTTTTGATCCCACAAAATTTATTCACAAAATATATATAAATCTTCTCTTTTGAGCTCACGGAATTTTCTTGATGAATAATTTAACCTTAAATGAATTATCAATGATAGGTTTCTCAAAGCATCACAATTTCTCTGCCAAAATGTATTTTATCACATAAGTGTAACTCTTTGACCTAGATAACTACCTAGTTGTCTGAGTTTGGGTAGATGTTGATTTTCTTTTCTTCCACAATAACATTCTTCTATTACAGATAAGTGTGAGAGTGGATTTCAAGTGTACATGATGGAAAGTGTAGTTAGTTGGTACCCATAATGAGTGTTTGTGGATGCTACTACACCTAGAAGAGGAGACATTGTGGAATTTGCTATTTACTGACTTGTATGCAATTGAAATCTAGCCCATATTTCTATATCTTGCTCTTCACCGATACACGTAGGTGCATGTTTCCTATTTCTTATAAAGTGATAACAGTTGGATTTATAATAATAAAGAGCTTGTATTGAGTAACATTCATGATGCCCCTGTCTTCTGGAGCACGGTTCTATTGTTTCAATAGTGCATACTGTCTCACAGCATGTGAGTACCACAACTATTTCCATGAGAGAATCTATTATTGGCAGAAGTGTAGCAAATAACATAAATAAAATATGAATAAAGAAACCTTATCACATAAAGTGAAGATAGTGAAGTGACAAACAGGTATTTGGATGATAGGAAATTCTATGAGCTATTTCACCTTGTCCATGATACAAAAGGAGCGTCAATATAGTGACGCTCCTGTGTAGTTGGATTACTTCGGAAAGAAATCAAGGCAAGGAAGGAAAGCCCCAAGCCACAGACAGCCTTGGAAAACAATGTTTGGCTATCTGTAAGTCTTTACTAGGAAGGTTTTGATTCTCGGATCTTTTCACTCTTGGTGCTCAAAGAGAAGTTTCATATTCAAGTCCTGCCATGACGATGACAGGAGATTTCATTCCTGTATGCTGCGACTTCAGAGAAGAAAATTATTTGTGTCTATAGGAAAATCCAATGGTGAGCATAATTGTATAATATAAAAATGACTACTAAAAATACAAGTGATTGTATTTAAGTATGATTCAAGCATCTTCTCTCTGGATTCTCCTTATTAAGACATAGATTTCAAGGGTGAAGAGCGCAGCAGTTAGAAGGGGAGACCATTTCAGTGAAACAGCAGCACACCCCGCACATACAGAGCCTGCTCGCCTCTCATTCTTAGACGCCACTGCCTGGAGGAAAGATTCAGAAACAGTGCCAACTCGGGGGAGGGTGTGAAGACCTACGAAGTAGGTAATAATTAGAAATGTGAAATTTTCCATGGATTTTTAATATAACACTGTATATTTATAACACTATCTGGTGAATATGGACAGTATTTTAAGGCATAGTAAAAATCTGAATGAATTAACAAGTGCTCATTATGTTCTCATAGAAAAAACAAAATGAGTGAACTGATTTTTAACTCACTTAGCATTTAGAATCATCATGAAAATGTACCAAATTGAAAAATGCCTTAGTCTAATATTAACACCTGTACTAAATAAAATCTGTCAATTACTCAAGTGAGGGCTAAATTAGATACAGGCATTTTGCATCTATAGTGGCAAACTTTCAATGTTTAAATTGATAGTTAATTATAAAACACCAAGAATTTTATATATAAACATTATGGAAATAATATATTTGTTATTCCTTTAAATTTTTTATAGATTCAAGGAAATTATGTGAATTTATTTTTACTTTATCATTAAGATTAATTTAAACAAATTAAAAGGCTTATAAAAATCTATCTACCATCTATTGATCTATCTGAATTTATGTTAAAATGATTCTTTTTCTGCAGCCAGGTCTGGCCTTTAATTCTCTCCCCTCAGTCCCTGAAGTGCTGGGATTTCAGGGATTAAGTACCTCTCAATATACACAGTCAAAAATGATACTTCTATTCTCTCTTTTGTATTTCAATGAAATAGATTACTCATATTAATTAATGCCAAATACTATGTAATATCCGATTCTAGTTAAACTCATTTGGAAGATGAATACTGCTAACTATCCATGGCTTAGTAGGTTTTTACACAAAAATATCATCATAGAGTCACAGGATGGGGAAAGTCTTATCTACATTTTAAAATCAACACACTTAACATAATATTAATTCTAAAGCACAGTTACAAAGATAAACAATTCAACCATTTCTTTTAAAAGTCACTGATTTTGTTTAGTGAAACCACAGTGGACATGCGACTTCTCCAGGATGCGCTTTTTGAGTGCCGTTCTTTCGATGAGTTATCTCTTGGGTGTCAGTGTGTAAGAACTGGGGAGTAACTAACTCACTGCATATGAGAAGTCAGACATCACAGCGGACATAAAACAATGCTTAGTATGCATATTTTCTTAATTCCCAGTAAAAGGAAAGGAAAATGATGAAATTGAATAAAAACTTAAATAACAGCATGATTTGATCAGAATGGAAGAAGAAAAACTGCCAGTGTTCCAGGGTCTAAAAAAATCAGCACTATTAAAAGCAATATTGATCTTTTAAGTAGAAATTTGAATAAGTGTCATTTTCACCAAGAAAATCTGTTCAATTTGTTTCAAAGTACAGTCAAGTAAAAGTTCAGTTTCATGATAGTTCTTTATGCTCAGGAGTGGTGCCATCATCAAGGATACTAACATCACCAAAGATACTATGTCTTACATAGGTATATACAGAAAGCTCAGTGCATTTCTGAAGTCACCACTCCGCTCATTCTGGAAGTGAGACAAGGGAGAACTGTCCTCAAGTTGTAATGACACAAGGACTTCCGAGTTTAGAAAGCCCAATACTCAATTTTCTGTGAACAAAACCAGCAAGTTTCATGGCTACTTCTGTCTGGAGTTGCCCCCGCCTGGGTATCATCACTTCATCCAGAGTGATTTTGTAGACCCTGTTGTGCACATAGTGGAGACCGGATGCTGAGAATGAGGCTGAGGAGTGACTGGGGAGCAGCAAGACAGTGGTCTGAGTGCTCTGCAACAGTGAGGTTCTACTTAGAAAGCGTCCCATGATGGCCTAAAAGATTATGGGGGAAAAAGAGCAACTGGCAGTGATGAAACTTTGTGGAACAGCTCAGAAGAGGATGAGAGGAATTTGGTAAAGCGGCTAAGAGTCTTCTCAACAAGGAAAGATCACATGCTAAGAATTACCTTACTGGATCTTTTCCAACTCTTCCTCATTAGCATTGTCTGTAAATGAAATAAAGCACTTCATTATCTTTCACCCAGTACAGAGCAGGGCAGCCATTGTTTTTTAGGGGATATGTAACACTTATTAGTCCTTTAAATAGCAAAATGTTTCCAGCAACAACAACAACAACAACAACACACACACACACACACACACACACACACACACGCACACGCACACGCACATGCACACGCACACGCACACGCAGGGTGGGGGAAAGTGGGAGGAGGGGAGATAGAGGGAGGAAGGGAGAGAGGGAGGAAGAGAGGGAGAGAGAGAACCTTTAACTTTCACACCACCTCTTTCTGCTGAGAGATCACTTGCATTATTCTTTGTATGAAGAGGTGAGATAGTATATTTTAAATATAGAATTGTGATTAGTTAATTCTAAATTAAAAATACAAACTGAGTTTCATGATTTATAATTGTCTCTTTTGGAGGTGAGAGTTGAGGGTCACTTGACTTAATTGGGTATATAGCATTTTTTCTTCAACCTACATCTAAAGCATGTTGCTTTGGCCACATTGTAGAAACATTTCTGCATTTAGTTATTTTTAACTGTATCATTGTCTACAATGTCTCCAACTCAGAAAAGGCTGCTTAATTGTTTTTGGTTTTTTGTTTTTTACTAAAATGTTTTCTTTATAATATTCTGTTTATGTCACAGTGAGAGGTTGGCTTGGCTACATGTTTTAATTAAGTTTCTGCAGATTTGGTAACAGTGCTTAAGGTTATTGGTCTTTTGCATTTGCATAAGTAAAATATAAAGCTCCCCCCAAATTTAAATAATTCTCCTATTTACTATTAAACATTTCCCTTAAGCACCTAGATGTAAACCTTCCTCTTTGCCATACCATGTCCTATGGTTGCATTTAAGACAGATGAAGAGGAAAGTGGAGAGTGTTTGGGGGAAAGACTGTGGCTTCTAGAACCCTTGCCATTGCTGTTTTTGGGAACTCTATCAATGTCAAGAGCTCCATCTCTTTTATCAGAACTCACTATAAAAGAAGATCCATTCTAGAAAGCACTCATGCCTCATGAAAATACAGGATAGAAAGAACTTTCACATAAGACTACGCCATTCTTTGACCTGAAGGGGGAAAATGGAATTACGGAGCAACTTCAGAGTAGGAAATAGGAGAATGGTAACATTCCCAAAGACAGTACTACATTACTTTTGTTTTCTCTATTGACCCAAACATGAAAGAGTAATAGATTTCCAAATGTTATAAAAATCCACCTCCCTTGTTTTCAAGCAGAACCAGGAAACAGAAAAGCATTGTTATCCAATACTACAAAAAAAAAAATAGTTTCTATTTTCTAACTGCTAAGGTCCAATTCATTTTGAAGCAACACATCCAACCACTAGTTTGGAGACACAGACAGGGTGCACACCTAATAGACAATTGATGTTAGACTATTGCTATTGATGTTAGGTGAGTGATTGCCATTACCACCTGATCATCATCAACAATAATAACATTATCACCTCCTCCGTATCACCAAAGGTCATGTGCAACCAAATTCTTCAGTGGTTAGCCATATCCACAAGAGCTCTCCAGTCAAAAGTCCAACAACAAGTGTTTGACTTTGTCTCAATGCATTTGATCTTGGCAATTTCTAGAGACAACATTTTGAGTCAAAACAACTAAAGAAGTAAAGGTTAAAATACCTTAACCAGTGGTCATTTATCAGCATCATTAAGCATCTAAGGATCCTGTAAAATTGATTCCATAAGAAGTATTGGGCTATGAAAGCAGGGTGAGACGGTAGAGAAGGGTGGACTACTGTGGCGACACTTGACAACATTTAGGGACATGTGCTTCTGACAGAGGAAAGGAAGCAGTGCACATGATTAACTTCTGATACAGAAAACAAAGCAAAATATAGCTTTGGCTTTTTCATGTCTCTCAAATTTTGATTGTATTTTTCAAACTGGGAAGGAGATACAAGGAAAACAGCCATGATTTGGTAGCTATAGGGCCAGTTCATTCTCCTGAATCAGTGTCAAAAGTTCTGCTGTAGATCAAGCGACTGTCAAAATGGTCTCAAATTTTATAACAAAAATTCTGCCTTGTTAGCCAAACCTACTAGCTTATCAAATGCTCCACACAAAAGTTCTTTTTCCTTTTTTAGGTACTTGGGTTAAGGAAGGCTCAATTATAGTAATTCAGTAGAAAAGTTTAAAAAATGAATTCAAAAGATAATTAATATTGCTATCTTTACTAACTATGAGGTCTAATAAAGAAGAAAGATTGTTTGGGAATGTTAAAGATAAAAGACAAAGTAAATTCTAGAAATATAAGATTTAAATTTTGCTCCATGATTGTGAGTTCGGCAGAGAAACATATGAATTAGATTTTCAAGGAGTTAGTGTCTGTTACTACTGTACATTAGGTTCTTCATTAGCAACTCAGTCTTCCTTGAAGCCAAAATAAGGAGTAAGTGACATAAAAATGTGGCCAATGATAGATTTGTAAAAGCAACTACTTTAAAAAGATTTAAAATTTCATTTTAACTTCCTTTTGTTATGATTTTTAGTATATTATTTGCTAATATGCATACAAAAAACATACAGAACAGATAGTACATATATCTTATAAAACATATACATTCAACACTTCATAAGGAGATATGTCTTTAAACATTGTATAAAAGTTATGACATCAAAGTTAAATTAAGGTATAAAAATTGTTTAACTCATCAAAGGCCACCTAGTATCAATTAATATGTTTCTAGGGATTTTCTAATTTTCAGCCTAAGCGAAACAATGTGTAGGTCTACATTATCTAAGAGAGTGTGTAACACAAATTAACTCACTTTTATGTCACAAAGTCTCCAATGAAGAAAGCTGTGGACTGAACTCTGCTAGAAAAAGAGCCAGAAAGAACTCAAACACACTGTCAAACAAAAATACCACATATAGGACACACATGTATGTATTACATATGTTTTCAGGTTCAAAACAGGACATGCAATCAGTGAGAGGAGTGCCATGCAGCCAGCTGCATGCTGCCCGTGAAGGCTTTGGCCTCTTGTACACACAATGCTGGGGACTCAAAAATAGATGTACACATATCTGTTCACATCTGGAAATTTTAAAAATACACTCAATCATGTACTCAATGCAGATTTTTATATTGGCAATGATGAAATACATTTGCTTATAGTCTTCCATACATCTTAAATTGCTGTAATTATATGTTATGTGTTGTCAAAGTTTTAGTACGTGGGCTGATAGGTTATTCAACTTATTCTTTGGTTTGACTGATTTCCAGAAGTGGCAATTCACACAAGAAGGAATCATGTCAACCACATTATTCACAGAGTGCATTGACAGCATTTAATGGTGCGTACTGAACTCACAGAACAGCTGGTTTAGAAGTCTTAGGGCTCTATGACACTAAGTCCCCTGCATTTCTAGTTCTTCCTTACTGTAAGTATTCTATGTCCTATCTGATTGTTAGGACATATTTGTTAAGGCTTTTGAAACTCATCTCAACCTTTGGCTGTTTTAATTCATGTAAAATATTTAGCAAAGTTTTATAAACATAGAGATAAAAAATGTGTGTTTGTTGAACTAAAGTCTCTGTCCCAAAAGCTTAAAATAAATTATTTCTGAGCTGTTAAGCACAGAGAACAGAAACCTTCTTCTCGTGTTGTTGTGTGTGGAGAACTGTCATCCTCCATTTGCCTGCTACATACACATCATCCACTGTGACAAAGACTGAAGCTTTCCACCACTGATAGTTATAGGATTTGAGTTTTAATTTCTTCCTGAGTGAGAGTTCTTCCTGGGTAATTTGGATAAGTTCAGCATGCCAATTTCACTGAAGTAGTGTGTTCTATATTCAAAGTGCAGGAAAGAAAATTGAAGTTGAAGATATATTGGATCTCTGATTGTTCTTAAACAAGAAATGTCAAATGTGTCCCAGAATACGCTTTGGTAATACAAGAAGAACAATACAGTTAAGCATTAAAACACTAATTTTAAGAATTTACCAAAGAAAGTTAGATCATTATTAAATCATGACATAATGAATTTGTTGCAACCACAATGATTTGACTATTAAAGTTAGAATAAAAATAACACGAAAATACCTCCCCCTGTTCTTTGAAGCATCCCTTCAAATTATCACAGACACATCTCTAAGACATTAAACAACCACTAGGTATAGGATGCTAGACTAGATTTTAAGAGATGCCATTACAAAAACATTTTGCAGATGTACTGTTATATTTAATATATATGCAATAATGTACCTTTACATATACCACTTCTCAGGAGGAACGTATGTATATAAGATGGAGGTGAGGTGAAATTTTGGCCACACAGATGACACAATGACACATTGGACTTGAGAGGTGAACTGCAGAGGAGTTTATGGGACTAGATGCTACAAGTGATAAAACAGATGCTGCTTGGTGCAAAGCTGTTTGTTGAGTTTCCTTTTATTGTCAAAGTAGCTACTTCAACAGTTAAAAAGATAAGGGACTTAAAGAACTTTGGTAGATAAGCAATAATATTTTTTAAAATTCATATACAAACACATATTTATAAACTGGGATATTTATACAACATGTACACATTGTTGTTCAAATCAGCATATCTATCTCTACAAGCATTTATCATTTGGTAGAAATATTTAAAATCCTTTCTTAGCCCTCTAAAATATGCAGTACATTATTGGTTGCTAAAGTCACCCTACTGTGCCCCAGGATATCAGAGGTCCTTGCTTCAAACTGTCACTTTCTCATTGGCCAATCTTTCCCATCCTTCTCTCCCACAAACTGGTCCCAGTCTCGTGGAACCACCATTCTGCTCTCCAGTTCTATGAAACAAACTTTGTTGCTTCTAAACGTGAGTGGGATTAGTATGTGTTCCTTATCTTCATTATTGCCCAGTTTCATCTACATTACTGGAAAAGGCTGGACTTCATCCTCTTTGGAGTTGACTACTAACTATTCCACTGTGATTTTTTTGAAAATAGATGCTTACTTATTCATAACAGCCAGAACCTGGAAACAGCCTAGGTGCTCTTCAACCGAAGAATGGATAAAGAAAATGTGGTACATTTACACAATGGAGTCTTACTTAGCTGTAAAAAACAATGACCTCATGAAATTTGCAGGCCAATGGATGGAACTAGAAAAAAAAAAATCATTGAGTGAGGTAACCCAGACCCAGAAAGACAAACACGTTATGTACTGACTCATAAGTGGATATTAGGAGTAAAGTACAGGATAACCAATCTACAATCCACAACCTCAGAGAGACTAGATAACAAGGAGGGCCCAAAGAGGGATGCATGGATTTCCCTGGGAAAGAGAAATAGAAGAGATCTCCTGGGTAAATGGGGTGGGGGATGGGGATATGGGAACTTGAGGGAGCAGGTTGGACAGGCTAGATGTGGGAGGCAGGTTGGGGGCAGGATGGAAGGGGAGAGTAAAGAAAGACATCTTGATAGAGGGGGGCATTTCAGGGTTAGGGAGAAACCTGGTACCAGGGAAATTCCCAGTAATCCATAAGGATGACATCAGCTAAGACTCCTAGCAATAGTGGAGAAGGTGCCTGAACTGGCCATCTACTGTAATCAGATTGGTGGCTACCCTAATTATCATCATAGAGCCTTTATTCAGTAACTGATGGAAGCAGATGCAGAGATCCACAGCCAAGCACTGGGCCAAGCTCTGGGAGTCCTCCTGAAGAAAGGGAGGAGGGATTGTACAAGCCAAGGGTGTCGAGGTCATGACAGGGGAACCCATGGAGATAGCTGACCTGAGCTCCTGGGAGCTCAAGGACTCTGGACTAACAGTTAGGGAGCCTCCAATGGGACTGATTTAGGCCCTCTGCATGTTTGTGACAGTTGTGTAGCTTGGTCTGTTTGTAAGGCTCCTAGCAGTGAGATCAGGACCTGGCACTTAGCTGGCTTTGGGAACCTGTTACCCATGCTGGATTACCTCACTTAGCCTTACTGCAGGGGGAGGAGCTGGGTCCTACCTTAACTTGATGTGCCATGCTTTATTGACTCCCATAGGAGGCCTGCCCCTTTCTGAATGGACGCTGAGGAGGAGTAGAAGGGAAGGGGGATAGATGGGAGTCAGGGGAGGGGACTGGGAGGAGAGGAAAGAGGGGAAACTGGTCAGTATGTAAAATAAATGAAAAATGTTAATTAAAATAAAATTTAAAAAATAGATGGTTATTCATGGTTTTGTTCAGAAATTTAAAACTTAGAAAGTACTGTTGATAAATATAACTGGATATACAGAGCTTGCAAAGGTATCAATAGAACAATTCTTCGGGTCAAATAAAAAGCAAGAGCTCAGAAATATTATGTATTTATATGCATACACTTAGAAACTCATATTTCCATATAATAAAGGATTTTGGAATACCTGGAACCAGACCCCAGCAGACTTTCCTATTCTCTCTATTTTAGTTTTTGTCCACCCCTATCTTGCTCCTCCACTGCCAAGCACAAGCCTGGCTCTTCATCACAACCATGAGGATAGCAAGGCTAGCCTGGGCTCACTCCTCTCTCCCTCCTGGGTGTCCCAGCCAGAGGCTGATCTTGGTGCTGCTCTGCAGCCCTGGCTTAGTTCTGCCTGAGACATTTGTTTCTCTGAAGAGAAGAGGCACCAGGGGAAATAGTAACAGGGTGGGAGAATGCACCATTTCCCAAGTGGGCAGCAGAATAATCCAGCACAAACGAAGTCTCTGAAAGCAGAAGGCATGGAGTAAGGCAGTGAATGAAGGCAGAAAAGAAATTCCTCAAACACAAACAGTTAAAGCAATTTGAGTTATGGAAAGAGCATGACAGTTTTTAGGAGAAAATCTTCATGTCAAAGGTGAATGTGGCTAGAGATAAACGACGAAGAGGGAGGAAATAAAGATAAATTAAATGGGATTTTGATGAATAACTTTTCTAGTACTCATTGATTTCCTTCACGTTCATGTGTAAGAAGTCACTGATGGTCAGCTCTTAGTTGCTATAATTTTTTCTAACTAGAAATACATGACGTCTGTGATGTAAGTTTGGGCAGTCACTGAGGTAGGGTAGGGTTTTTCAAGGACTGTTGAAAATAAATAAATGTGAGAAGAATCTTTGTCAATGCTCACATTTGATTTTGTCAGAGTAACTCAGTAACTTCTTTGTTGATATCTTGGTAATTCAATCTCTTGAGCCCTCAGGTTGATGCTAGGATATTTAAAATGGTTCTTTTGAAGGACAAATTCTCCTAATTATCCATCACCCAAATGACCACAACAGCAGCCACACCATCTAAATCTCTAGTAATACTTCAAGGGTGGGTGGTCTGGGGATACACAGGACTCTGTGCACTAGTTATCTTCATTTATGAAGTGCTGCCCTGAATTAAAATAGCAAAGAACCGACACGGGCATATTCTATCACCAAATTTCCTTGACTTGTTTTAACCTCTTACAGGCAAACCTGCCAATCCCCTCCTAGGGCTCTATTTAGAACCTTATCTTCCTTCACTTAGGCTTTGTGCAATGGCTTCCCAATCAGTCTCCATGCCTCATCCTCCTCCCTTAATGCATTTTCTATAATGTATGAACAGAGACAAGATTTTTTTTACAGGCAAATACAATCATGCCATTTCCTCTTTGTAGACCTTGCCATAATTTTTCATTGCTATTTGGATAAAGGTCACAAATCTTCCCATGGACAACAGGCCCTCCACAGTCAGGGCACTTCTCTCCTACTCTGGACAGGGAGCATGGCTGCCGCACTCTTTGCTTCTGTCTCCGGTAAGCTCCACTGTCTCTTTGGTTCTTGAGATGTAGTGTGCTTCTCTAACCACGGTGTCTTTGTATGTGTTCCTTCCTCTGCCTCAAGTACTTCTCTTCTTGAGTTTTGTTTCTTTTTAATTCCTATAGCTATTTCCTACCTCATCCCCACGTGACTTCCTTAGAGAATCCTAGGCCCACACTGATCGGAACAAATTTCCTGTTTTTGTTTTTCAGAAATGTGCCTTTCTTTCATAACACCAAACTAGCTGTCACCTTTTTTCTCTCAGTAAATCACTGGACATAAGTTCTCATGTGTCCTAAAGGCCAGCATAGGAGCTGCCTTGCAGTGGGCTTCTGGTGATCATCTGAATTATTTAAATAAAGTATAAAATGAACATTTAGAATATACTCCCAATTATGAACTAGGCATCTAAAATTTATTTCCTGGTTTGTGTTACTGGTGACTTTTAACTGATGACCTTTCTCTATAAATGACGGTATTCCTTGAGCAAGTTTTTCCTCAACTGTCCTTCTGTATGCACACATGAGTACTCACTCAGCTACGCCATGTTCTCACAGCAGGGATATGTGTACTCATTCACACCACGTTCTCATTCTCACAGCAGGGATATGTGTACTCACTCACACCACATTCTCACAGCAGGGCTATGTGTACTCACTCACACCACGTTCTCACAGCAGGGCTGTGTGTACTCACTCACACCATGTTCTCACAGCAGGGCTATGTGTACTCACTCACACCACATTCTCACAGCAGCGATATGTGTACTCATTCACACCACGTTCTCACAGCAGGGCTGTGTGTACTCACTCACACCATGTTCTCACAGCAGGGATATGTGTACTCACTCACACCATGTTCTCACAGCAGGGCTATGTGTACTCACTCACACCACGTTCCCACAGCAGGGCTGTGTGTACTCACTCACACCACGTTCTCACAGCAGCGATATGTGTACTCATTCACACCACGTTCTCACAGCAGGGCTGTGTGTACTCACTCACACCATGTTCTCACAGCAGGGATATGTGTACTCACTCACACCACGTTCTCACAGCAAGGATATGTGTACTCACTCACACCATGTTCTCACAGCAGGGATATGTGTACTCATTCACACCACGTTCTCACAGCAGGGATATGTGTATTCACTCACACCACATTCTCACAGCAGGGATATGTGTACTCACTCACACCACGTTCTCACAGCAGGGATATGTGTACTCACTCACACCATGTTCTCACAGCAGGGACATGTGTACACACTCACACCATGTTCTCGCAGCAGGGATATGTGTAGTCAGCCACACTAGGCCATGTTCTTCCTCAGCAGCCTCCATTTGCACACATGTATATGCCATGTTCTCACAGCAGGTGCTATAGTAAGATTTGTTAAAAGTAGATTTCCCCACTAAATAAAGTTTTAAAATAAAACATATGATCTTGTATGTCCATTGTTTAATTTTTATGGATAGACAGAAATTCTTCTTAAAGGGGTGAGTTTTCTTTGGTGAGTTTTGAAAATCTTCAAATTTTGAAGTTGGGATCCACTATTTTTAGCCACAATCTTGATTAAAATGTCAACAATATTTTTAATAGATAATATATACCAACTTGAATGGCACATAATTTTAAAACAGGAATATAGGTATTGCTGAAAGAGTCTTTTTGGGAACCTCTAACAATTATAGCTACTACAAAATTGCATCAGAGCTATAGTAGTTCCTAGGCATATATGAATATTGAGCCTAACAAAAATCTCTGCAAATCATGGCAGAACTACACCAGCAAGCACACCAGTGTGGATCACAGAGGTATACCAGCAAGCACACCAGTGTGGATCACAAAGGCACACCAGCAAGCACACCAGTGTGGATCACAAAGGCACACCAGCATGCACACCAGTGTGGATCACAGAGGTACACCAGCAAGCACACCAGTGTGGATCACAGAGGTACACCAGCAGCACACCAGTGTGGATCACAGAGGTACACCAGCAGCACACCGATGATGTGGATCACAGAGGTACACCAGCAGCACACCAGTGTGGATCACAAAGGCACACCAGCAAGCACACCAGTGTGGATCACAGAGGTACACCAGCAGCACACCGATGATGTGGATCACAGAGGCACACCAGCAGCACACTGATGATGTGGATCACAGAGGTATACCAGTGTGGATCACAGAGGCACACCAGCAGCACACCGATGATGTGGATCACAGAGGTATACCAGTGTGGATCACAGAGGTACACCACCAGCACACTGATGATGTGGATCACAGAGGCACACCAGCAAGCACACCGATGATGTGGATCACAGAGGTACACCAGTGTGGATCACAGAGGCACACCAGCAAGCACACAGTGTGGATCACAGAGGTACACCAGTAGCACACCAGTGTGGATCACAAAGGCACACCAGCAAGCACACCAGTGTGGATCACAGAGGTACACCAGCAGCACACCGATGATGTGGATCACAGAGGTATACCAGCAGCACACCAGTGTGGATCACAGAGGCACACCAGCAGCACACCAGTGTGGATCACAGAGGCACACCAGCAAGCACACCAATGATGTGGATCACACCTGACACTTTTCCAGGTTACTTGAATAGCGTGGGAGTCACCACTTCCTCTGTAGCCCTTGTTCATTTCTCATAGCAGCATGGTGTGCAAGGAAGTCAAATAGCTAGTGCTGAGATATGGGAAGTATCATTATGGAAGTCCATCAAGAACATGAAGAGTACACACTTATTCAGTAAACAACCACCAGAAAGCAGAAACTCTGTTATCATTTCACCTCATTGTCCTCGTCACGACACATTTGGCAATATAGTAAAAATAGTAGAGTCTTGGATCTCTCCATATGGAATTTCAAATATTCGATTCACTAATCAATGTATTCCCTGAAAGAATACTAATATTTACCTACAATATAACATGTCTGAAATTAATTAATAAAATTATGAGAGGGTGTAAATCTACTCATTTACAACAAGAGGTTCTGATCTGGAATATGGCACAGGAAATTTGAGTTGAAAAGACAAAATGACTATGAATGAGTGTTACCCAGGATACTCACAATGACCAAGAACGGGCCACAGTTCCACTGCCTCTGATCCCTGAATGGCCTGAGAAGGCTCTCAGCATGTGAGAAAGTGGGGACAAGAAGAACTCCGGAAGACTTACCACATCCCTGGGGTCGCCTTCCTTGGGGGTCAGGGTGACTGACATCAAAATGATTCCAAGGTCATGGTCGGGATAATGGGGATCTTTCAGAGTCAAGGTCACATCTGTGCTCCTGTGATATAAAATATTTAGATTGGGAATAGTCACTGAGTGCATAACCCCAAAATTATCTTAATCAATAATTCATTATTTTAAATGTTTTTTACTCTTTTGATTTCTTAGTACATTTTTTGTTGTTATCAAAATACCACCATTGTATTAAATCATCCAAGAAGCTGCATGTCCGTGGAGGTGTTTGAATTCATTGGGTAAATTTCTTCACTTTCTGAGGTTCTAGAAGGTTGATGAAAGCAACAAACTATTCAAAAATCTACAAACCCCCTTTCTATGATCAGTAAGCTCAGAGGGAGAAGTCCAGTTCTTTTCTATACATTTAAGCCCAGAAACTGGAGGAAGGTCATTCATCAGCCACCACTTTTAGTTGTGTAGCTTTTGATTTAAGCAGGGGTAATTATTTAAAATAAACAGAAAGGTGTAAGAAGAGGAAGCTCATAAAATATAACTTGATTCACATATTTTATACATATATTTTAAGACAACATATAATTATTTAAAAGAACAGCAGATATTTAAAATAATGCTTGTAGTTTGGGGATGTGCAAACTTATGCCCAAAACAATTTCTCAATTCAAAATAACATAGAAATATTACTTAAAGTTGGACAATGGAGAATTTATACTTAGATTTGGATTTGGGTAAGCATTCCTGAGGAAGAGAGGATGAATAATTTAGTATTATACACAATCACTTTTAAGAAATAGAGAAAATAGCTGGCAAGATGGCTAAGTGGTTAAGAGCACTGGCTGCTCTTCCAGAGGTCCTGAGTTCAATTCCCAGCCATCTGTAATGAGATCTGGTGCCTGGTGCCCTCTTCTGGTCTTTTGCATGTACGCAGGCAGAACACTGTATACATACTAAATAAATCTTTAAAAAAGAAAGAAAGAAAGAAAAAGAAAAGAGATAAAGAAAGTAGACATTTAACTGAGACTGCATATGTAATACCTTGTTTACCTATTTTAATTAGTATTGAACAGACAGGGCTCATGAGCTACCACAAACCAGTTTCTGTAGAACATGGAACACCAAACAAAAGAATCATAGGATGCTTGGCAATAAAACATCTTTTCTCATTCATCCAGTTGTTTGTTGCATTCACAAAAAGAGCAGTGAGTACATATTGAATATCTCACAGTGTTCTGGTTTCTGTTAAAAGCCACAGATCAAAACAAAGGGGATCCCTGTGTTCAGAGAACTTTAATTTTTGTACAGTTTAGTTCTGGTATGGTGAATAGACATTTAGGTTAAAAATGGCCCAAGTAAAAAATTCAGTCCTATTTGCCTATCAGTTTTCACTGTTCTGTTTTGTGTGCACGTATGTGTGTTTATTCTTGAAATTCACCTCTGAAGAATCTGTGGATGAGGGGTAGGGATTAGAACTGGGTAAGGGGAGGGTATTAGAAGTCTATATATTTCTAAAGTGCCCTGCCAAATGATTTTCTCACACACCCAGGATTAAAGAACAGGCAATTTTTAATGTGAACATCATGATACCAGGAATTTTATCACATGATGTTTAATACATTAAGTTAAGGTGTGATAGAAAATGAGAAATATTTTGTGGTGTCAGAGGTTTAACTGAATCTGTTTGCAAATTGTTTTCAACATTAATTTAGCTATCAGTAATCATTATAATTTGATAGCAAGAAGTGGTCTTTATTGTTTATTTACGTATATATGTACATATATGTGGTTGTTCGTATGTTTATCAGCATGGTGGAGCTGGTGCTGGAATACAATTGTGAATGTAGTAGAGGCCAGGGGTTGATATTAGGTATTGTCCTCAATCACTTCCACCTTAAATTTTTGAGCCAAGGTCTCTAATTGGACCATCAGTGAGACTTTTCACCAATTTGTTTAGGCTGGCCTGCCAATGGGCTCCAGGAATCAACCTGTTTCTGGCTCTCCAGTGCTGGGATTATAGTTGTGTATCACTGTGCCAAACTTGTTTCACGATTCTAGCTGTCAAAACTCATGTATTTATGCTAGTACAAACATTTTACTGCCTAAGCTGTATCCCAATATCAACTTGTCTTTCTAAACAAATGTATATTTGGCATCATAGTGTATTTATGCAATATATACATATTTGTGGTTACAATTTGATTGGGTCCCTTTTCATATAGGGAATACATACAAAATTAATTAAAATTTCTCCTTAATGCTGGAGTGATCACAATTCCAGATCTTAAGATATGTTACAGAGCCATAATAATAAATAAGATATGGTACTGCCACCCAAACGGATATGTAGATCAATGGAACAAAATTGGAGACCTAAACATGAGCCCATATAAATTTAATCACTTCATATTTGACAAAGACGCCAAAAGCATGCACTGGAGAAAAGAAAGTATCTTCAAGAAATGGTGCTGGGAAATTGGATGTCCACATGCAGAAGAATGAAACTAGATCTATATCTATCACCTTGCACAACAACTAACTCCAAATGTACCAAACACCTAAACGTGGAGCCTGAAACACTAAAATGACTAGAAGAATGCATGGACAGAACACTACATGATATAGGTGTAGGAAAAGACTTTGTGAATAAAACTCCGTGTGCCAAGAATTAGGGTCAACAAATGACAAGTGGAACCTCATGAAACTAAAAAAGTTTCTTCATGGTTAAAAATATCAATATATCAAGTGAATGGAAAGCTCATAGAATGGGAGAGTCTTTGCCAGTTATACATCTGATAGGAGACTAATATTCAGCATATACAAAGAACTCAAAAGCAAACAGTCAAAAATGATGCATTAGAAAAATAGGTCTGGGACCTGAATAGAATCTTCAAAAGAAGAAATAAATAAATAAATGGCTAAGAAATATCACCCAAATGTTCATCATGCCCAGCAATTAGGGAAATGCACATCAAAACAACTTTGAAATTTCATTTTATCCCACTCAGAATGGCAAAAATCAATGGAACAACCAACAAAAAACGCTACTGGGATTTGGGGAAAGGGAGGCCCATTCGTTGTTGATGAGATTGTAAGTTGATGCAGCCACTATGAAAATCAGTGGTAACAGTTCTCAAAAGCTATGAAATAAATCTACCACACAACCCAGCTACACCACTCCTTGGCATATGTCCAAAGCACTTGACATTCGGCTAGGAAGACTCTTGCTCAGCCATAGGCAGGTAAATACGGAAGAAGGTGGGAAGTGGGTAAAGGGAATAGCATGACACAAATGTTCTGAGGGGGAAATGGGAAAAGTGAGGACTCTTTAGGGAAGTAAATACAGAAAAGAGAGGGAGGTGGGTAAAAATACAGTAAGGATTCTGAAAAAGCCACCTGGAATTATACGGTTAACTATTCTCAAAAAATTATATAATACATATATTTTCTTGTATATGTAGTTTTAATGAACTTTTCTCACTTGGGTTGATGGTGATTCCTCCAAGAACCAAATGCCACCTAATAAACCACAACACCAGACACCAGAGCCCTCTTTTGAGTTGCTGGCTAGGGCTGCACAAGAGACCACCCAAACATACAACCTATAGCTTTGCCCTTGGTTTCCCCCAAGAGGTGGAAGGCTAAGTCCTTATTGCTGAAGGACACCATGCACTTGAGACACAGGGCCCAGGGGCTCCTGAGCTGGAACTGATCTGACAGCCCCCTGTCCGAGGACTAGCTTTCATAGTACTAGAAGACACAATGCAAGCTTCAGAAGAAAGGAGAAAATCAACAGTCCCACCTACATATACCTATGAGCCACATCAACAACTACCATAGCACAATAAGCCTAAGTGTGCTGTAGTGGCATGCATACCTTGGCAGTAACCAACAGCTCTCTAATTGGAACTAAGATTCATTTAACAATAGGAAGACTATGCCTGGTACTGAAAACCTATCTAACTACTCAGTGCTAGTGAGTCATTGTTATTAGAGGGCAATCTACAACCCTTAATTTACTAAACCAGCATAATCCTCAATATTCTTTAAACATTTGCTCTTATACTCACAGATAATTGTAGTCTTCACCCTCATTAAAAAAAAACAAAAACTTCTCTTTAGAACAGATGGAGGCCACTGCAGAACCACAACCAATAAAAATGCAGAGTCTGGAGCCCAGTCTCAATGGATACATGCACAAAACACTCCTACACCTAAGGCTCGAGAAACATTGTGGAAGAGGAATGGAAAAATTTTAACAGCCTGAAGATCAGAGAGCTGGTTATGAAATTGAGTCTCTTAGTAACATCAGAAGCTATACCTGTAACTTCTCACCAACATGGTTACCCAAATGTGCTCTGAACAAGGATGACACCAGTAACATGCCAAGCTGGACAGAGAAAGTCTACAAGGCCTCAACCCTACACAAAGAACTATAGACGCAAACAAGGAAAGATGGAAGCAGGAGAAGGCTGAGGCCTGCTCCAAGAAAGAACACACCAATGGTTGTCCAGGGCCAAATAGTCAGCACTGAAAACATACAGGCAAGTAGCATTACATGGACTGCACATATGGAACATATATGTATACATACTAGTACGTACGTGCATGCAATAACAATTAATAAAATAGAAGTCATGAATTTGAAGGAAAGTGGAAGAGCTATATAAGGGGCTTAGAGGAAGGAAAAGGAAGGGAGAAATGTTTAAATTATAATCTCAAAGTTTTTTAAAAAAACATGTTTTAGAATCACTTTAAAGAGATTTCAGAACATTTTTAGCTGCTTTATGAGATTCTTATTATTTTCTTTCATTTCAAAAATATTTATGTCAAGCCCAGCATGGTGATGCATGGCTTTAATCTCAGCATTCAGGAGGCAGAGGCAGGAGGATCTCTGTGAGTTGGAGGCCAGCCTGATCTACAGAGTGAATTCCAGGACAGCCAGAACTGTTACATAGAGAAACCCTGTCTCGAAAAACCAAAATAAAATAAAATATTTATGCCATTTAGTTTGAATAATACTCCTAAACAGGAAAATATCTACAGTAAAATAAACATTAAGATCCAAATGAATAAGGAATATATTATTTA